AGAAAGGCGAGCGATGGGTACAAAAAAAAGATTCAACTCCCATCTCTCATTAAATTCTTTAGGTGGTGAAAAGGCTTTCTTGGACAAAGACTGAGGTCTCCAAGCTTCTATCCCGGTCAGGCAAAATTCTTGAAAAGATTTCTTTATTCTAGTCAGGCAAACTCTTCTGTAATATGGCATTGGCCTTAATAGCAATAAGTGAATCCATATATTGGAAGAAGGATAAGTTTCTCAAACGTTCTTCTTGAAGTCACTTTCAGGAATGGTTAAGTTCCTCAAACATCATGAAGCTCAGAGAATATCCTAATCAAACAAACCCTTTTCGAGAGGAAACTGTGAAATAGAGCAAGAACCTTTTGGAGAACTTTGATTTGTATTCCTTCCCCTTTTTTTTTCAGTGCCAACTTTAACAATTCATTGTTTTTCAGAATAATCTATAGTAACAAACTGTTGGTGATGATCCTGATTAACTTAGAGGCATATTGCCAAGCTACCAGGAGAGTGAAATATTGTCCCTTAAATCTAACTTAGAGTACCTAGTTTAGATTTAGTTTTGTTTAGTCTGAACTAGCTTAGTGGACTCCTTATATTTTTTAAGTAGTATAGTCCTTTAACTAATAATATACAATAATGAGTTAGTTGCTTTGTGAAAGTTTATAAAATATTTAGGTATTTCTTAATATCTCAATAAAGACACACCATTGCAACATGATTGTGGTTAAAAAAAATATTATAGTTTGTATTATTCATAATTTATAAATATAATTTCAATTCAAAAAAATTCGTATATAAGTTTATTAATTTTTTTTACTTTATTGCTAATGAATAGTTGTCAAATTTTTAATGAATAGTTAATAAACCTTTAATGAATAATTTAATGAATAGTTGCTGGTTTTTTAACCAATAGTTAATGAATTTTTAATAAATAGTTTTGATGAATAGTTGCTGAATTTTTAATGAATAGTTGACAAATTTTTGATAAACTATTAATAAATTAATGACGAATTTTATTAAATTGTTAATAAATAATTTTATGATAAACTTTTAATGAATTATTGCTGAATTGTTAATAAATTATTGTCAAATTATTAATGAATTATTTGACTAATTGTTAATAAATTTTTTAACAAATTGTTAATATACTGATTTTTTAATTGTCAATTTATTTATATCATTTTTTAGTTAAGTTGTTTATTTTTTGCTAAATGTTATATAAATAGTGGTATGTTGAATAATTTTTTTTGCCAAATTGTTTATTTTTTGTTAAATGTTACATAAGTGACAGTATATTGAATAAATTTTTTCAACTAGTTATCAGGAAATTTTTTAAATGAAGATCTCTAAAGATCTTCACCATAAAAAAAATTTTCGAAAATTTTCAAAAAAATCTCTGGAAATCTTCGAAAACCTTTGAAAATTTTTTATAAGGAAAAATTTTTATAATAAAAAACTCTGGAGTTTTTTCATAATAAAAATTTTTAAAAAAATACGAAAATTTATAATGTATTAAAATAAATATTTATTACTTTTATCAAATCTTGGAATTAATTAATAAAGTATTATTCAACATGACCAATCAAAATTTTAATTAATTAATATTTTGATGATTACATTTTCAAAGCAAAGTACTTCATTTTTTAAGCAAACTAATAATATTTATAACTATAAAGTCATTTTTGAATAGTAATGAAGATTTGTATGTAGTCATAAAGTGACATAATTTCTTGGGATTTGTGTTATATAAGTCTCTAAGATTCTTCACAATTTTCTTAATGTCAATGTCAAATAAAAGACAAGAAACACGTAACATGTTTCAAAATATTATTTTAGGTAAAACTTTCGGTGAAAAAGGAGAATGTAATAGAAGTTCTTCACGGGCCTCTGAAAAGACATCAAGTTCTTCGAAGTCTCGTGGTCATATTGAAACCTTGAGAAAAACACTTTTACTTGATATAGATAAAGATGTTCCATACAAACATGCACGAATCTCTGGAAGTACCCATAAAACTGCGTCATGCTTGGCTTGGATATATAAAGGAACTTCAAGTATATTAAAAGAACACAACAAATATAGAAATAGGTTTCTTGAGAGAATTTTGGAGTTCAATAAAGCCCTCTATAAGAAAATGGATTAGTTGCTAGAACAGCAAAAAATTGTAGAGGATAAGGTCACCTGCCTCGAAAATAAAATTTACGCAAGTACATATTTAATTACTGAACAAGAATTTATTGACGTAAGTTATAAGTTAAAGATCTTCGAAGAACTTCAATAATATATTTGATATTTTATTAAAAGGTAGTCAAGGGAATTGTAAAAGAATTGTTTAAAAAAATATATGTGGAATCTGAAGACTTTCACAAGCAAACTGAGAAATTTTTTCAAAGGGAGCATTTAGTGTTCTATGAAGGATTTTCAAGAAAATAATGGAAATCATACTATGAAAAACATATTCGCCAAGAAATAAGTTCAATAAATCATATGTATTTATTTTAAATTATTGACGCTCTAATTTTATTTAATAGCTTATCAAGCAATACAGATCTATCTGTGGAACTACGGCTTTAAAGATTCGTGATGCCATGTTTTTGATTTTTGGTAAAGGATCACTCGATATAATCAATACCAATATATCGACCACTGAAATTATGACATGGAAGTAGTCACACAAGATAGCTGAATGTTACAATAATCTTCACAAACTTCCAGAAGAGAAGGATCAGAGTATAATGATGCGCATTCACGAAAAAGTTTGGCCAAGAGGAGACCCCTTCACCAAACAAATGACATTTGCTATTGCAATTTGTCAATTTGTTCTAAATCTGCATAACGAAATAATTTCTATAAATAAAGTGATCCTAAAAATGAAAATTAAGAAATATAAGATAAGCTTTAAAGGTCTTTGAAGGTATTTGGAAAAGTAAAATATTTACTAATATATATTTTTAGGAAAAAATTATAAGAGGAATCAGATTCGCGGAAGGAAATTCTAGCAACAAAGATGGATCTGATAACAAACCAATGAGTAATAATAGTGTAATAGAAGTTTTAAAATTTCTGAAGGTAACTGAAAATAATGAAAATGATTTGGCATAAATGATGAAAATTTATCATTGGAGAGAAATCCTTCAGCAATGAGCTTAAGAAAAGAATAAATATGTAATGTGAAATAACTTTAATAAATAATCTTAAATATAAATAAATATTTGTAATACAATTTTTAATAATATTTATATATAATTTAATATAAACGTATTTTATTATATTTAAATATCTTCAAAATCTCCGGAGATATTTAAAAATTTTTTTGATTATCTCCGAAATTATATATATAACTTTTATTCTGGAGACTTCTAACGATACTGGAAGTCCTCTGGAAATTTACGTCCAAAAATCTTCAGAGATCTTTACCTAAAAAATTTTCTGATGGTGTAAGCCTCTTACTTCAAAGGTTAGAAAAATCTTCAGTTACTTTACAATCAGTTCTTTTTTCTTTAGGAACTTTCTTACCATTGGTATCAAGAGTATTACCTGACTTTTCTTGATTACTAAAAGTCGACTTTTTGAGTGAAGAGGTTTGTAAACAATAAAGGAAGGGTAAAAACAACTCTTAAAGTTATATTTTAAGTTGTTTTAAGGAAAGTGTTAAGACTTTATTAACAAAAAAGTATAAAAACTTTTTATAAACATCATTTTTTTTTTGTGATCAGAAAATTAGTAGAAAAAATTTTTTAAGAATATCTTTTGATAAGATATAATATGTTCATTAAGAAAATCAATAGAGATATAATTAAAGATGAATCTCTAAAGTGGAGGCAAGAATAAAAGTCAAATGTTCTTTACTAAAAAAATTTAAAATTTTTAAATTAATAAATATAAAACACTATCTAAAATTATTCTCTATTATTCAAATCATTGATTTATAATATTTCTTGACTTTTGTCCTTATTAAAGTAAAGAGCTATGAATTTTGTCCCTCAAAAAGGGACATAAGTGATCTGTGAAATTTTATATACTAAATACTTTAGAAACCCATCATTAGATATAATATATAAAACAATTATATTAAGACTAAATTAAATTTTATACTGACTTATTTATCAATAGCTTTCAATTCTTAAATAAATTTCAATCTCTAAATACGATCTTGAAAACATCACTCTATAATAAAATTATAGTATATTATAAAAAAAAATTTATAAATTTTTATTTATAATATTTTTGCTATCTGTATAATTGAAATGGGTGCTTATTTAGTGAAATATTCGATAAGAAATTGATTATCTCATCGATTATCAGAATCGAATTATATAAGATAAATCCGAAATCAAAAATAAGCTATTTGTCACACATAAATGATCTACATAACTAAATATGGTAGTCTTCTAGAAATTTAATAGATATTTACAAAGAAATTAAAATGCTACACCCAAGTTCGTATCCATTGGAGAATCGATCTTTTATTTTTGGTATTTTTTTTTAGTAACAATTACAATCTCGATAGCAATCACCTTACGAATAAGTAAAGCAGCTTAAAAGGGGAGAACAAAACAGGCAAACAGAAGGAATATTGGAATTATACCTACAATTGGGGGGCATATAATTCTCTTAATAATATTCGGGTGTTGTTATATCGCGATAAAGAGGAAGAAAGAATATGAGATAATAGCATCAATGCCGCACAGCGAATGCTAAACTTGACCGCAATTCTGATCTGAAGTAAGAAGAGAAATTACAAGTCATACCTACTAAAATCTCAAGTTCCTCATGAAATAATGAAAGGAACATGAGTATTCCGATGCGAATTAGAAATAACAGAGAATGAAAAAAACCTCCCTTTAACTAATATCACCTTGTGAGTAATATTTTCTTCCTATTCTCCATTTTGAAAGAATTTATTTGACCCAATTCAAGAAAAACATAAAACACAATTAAACTTCATTTTACGACGCACATACATATGGACCACCGAAACAGACTTACCTCATCACTAAATGCCTCATCAAGTTGCAAGGGCTTTGTCAAGACTATTTCCCCCTTCGCCTGTATTGTTATTTCCACCCTCGCCACCATTTACACTACCAGTGTTTGCTTTAGGTCGTCTCCGTCGCCTTCCATCCCCGTAATACAACCGATATTCACAAAACATACAAATCCAATCTCCGCTCTTTTCCGTAAATCTAATTTTGCGCCGTGGAATACTGCTATTATTAATCGGTTGAATATCCACTGAACCGGATGTTGATGACGTGTCATCCTGCTGCTGTTGGTGATGCTGATGTTGTTGGTGATGTTGGTGTTGTTGGTGTTGATGATGTTGATGCTGATGTGCCGGGTGCGGGTTTTGTGCATTCTGACTATTGTTCCCTGACATTTGGGATTTTTTCTTGTTTTTTTTACGTCCAGCATTTGGTAACCTTTTAGGAGTCGCAGGAGGAGGCGGCGGCAAAGGTGGTAAAAGTGCCTTGGATCTTACGGCAACTTGAGGGCGTATGTGGTTATGATTGGCTACTATATCGTCACTCTTGAATGCCACAGACGATGGAGCAGCACGTTTCGTTGATGCTTTCTTTTTTGAAGCACCGAGTGTGGAAACAGTTGTCACTGTCGGTGACTGTTGTTGTAAGAATAGTGATGATGAGAACGGATCGTTCTTAGCATTCATTGTCTGAATAGGTGACACAGCGGCTAATCTCTTTGCACTAGCCGCGTTCACACTTGCGGCTAGTGCAGCAGATTTCTCGGGGATCGATTTAAACGAAAAATCAAATGTCGTCTGCGGAGGACGCATGCTGCTCGTCTCCTTATTGAATACCTTGTCAAATTGGGACACCGTATCACCACCACTGCCGCTACCTGCTGGCGCCCTATTCATAACGCTAGTGCTACGCTGTGTCAAGCGTCTTTCTACTCTCCGAAGTGGATTTGCTCGTTCTTTTGCGGTTGAAGTCTTAATCACACCACCAACACCACTACTCGTCGTTGAACTCCCCCCCACTGTCTGTAAAGCCTTTCTTTTCTTTTTATTATTCGCATTGTCTAACCAATCGGAATGTCCGTTATCGTTACCACCATCTTCCTCTTCTGCATCAAAATCTTCTTCTTCTTCTGAATTCGTCGGCGTGGCAAAAGAAAATAAGGGAGATGGTGGAATCACCTGTAAAGGTTGAACCACAGGTGTGTTTAAAATGATCTCATTTTTTCCATTAAACCCAATGTTACTAATATTTTCATTGCTAACCAAATTATTGTTATTACTATTACTACTACCATTGGGACTTCCATTCTGCGAGAGCCGAGATTTTGCACGCGATGGTAACTTACGAATTGGTCTGAAAAATGGAAAAGTGTTTGTCGCATTGTGAGCAAATCCCCTGGATGGTGAAGTTTGTAAGGTCGAAGAACTCATATTATTAGTATTATTGACATTAATAGTAATTCCTTTCGCTGATGAGGGTATTGTTGATGATAAGGTTGTGCTTGATATGCTGATATCCCCAAATTTCATTGGTAATTTTTTAACTGGCGTTGACGAAACCATCATTGATGTTGAAAGATTTTCATTATTATTGTTATTTTCGTTATTATTATCTATCGGCTTTGTAGGTGTTTTTGCTGTTACGTACAAGGTGGTCGTTCTACCTGCACCAACATTAGAATGTACTCCTTTCCTTGCCGCAGACGCTTGCGACGAAATCGGTGACGTTTTCGCAGATGGACTGAGTGGCGGAGTCGTCGTGAATGGCGGTGTAGACGGACGAACCAATGGTGGTGGTAAATTGGATGGTTGAGATCCGGTCACCGCATTTTTGGAATTCATATCGAACTTGAAGGAGCCCGTAAACTGTGGGAACAATAAATTAGAATTCGAAAATTGGGTATCGGTTGGGGATGTGGTACTTATCGACGGTGGCCATATAGAACTGGACGGCATCGCTATGGGTGTTTTTGACGAGAGCTGAGGGGAAAACTTGTCGAGAACCGGAGGATGCCATTGAGAAGTAGCACGCCTTTGATCTTTTGAATTTGAATAATTTGCAGGTGCATTGGAAGAAGAAATGGAAGGGCTTTGAAAGGGATTTTGTAACGATAACTCGGAGGAATTTCCGAAAGGAAATGAAGGAGAAGATGTAGTTGTTGCATTTGAAAAGTTCGGTAAAAAGAAATTTTTGTCCGCAATATTAGGAAATGTAAATTTTGATGGAAAAGGGGCATCTGTCATGCCAGACGGAATTAACACATTGTTTTTTTTCACACTTCTTTTATTCGCTTCAGAAGACTCACCATTTTTTTCATGGTTAACCGTTAATTTAGATGATGAATTTTCACCTTTTCCGTTTGTAATCACGGGTGTTGGTTCTAATTCTTCAATTAAATCCTGGCTGGGTTTATTTGCTAACATTTCTCTTAAAACATCTTCAGCAATGGCAGCCGGTATCGTGTATTCAGCTTCATCAGCTAAAGTTGATTTTATTTCTTTTGATGTCTTTTTACGGATAGATTCGTTTTTTTTTGTGTTTATTGATACATCTTCAACGCTTGAATTAGAATTTTCTTCATAGTTCTTAGACAATTCATAATGAATTTCTTTAGCATTATTCTTCACCGTCGTAGCTTGCACGACTGATGCCGAGGGCATGCAATCGGAAGACGAGGGATCTCTAACTGACAGACTTGCAAGTGAACTTGCGAGTGAGTTGTCTGTAAAATCTATCGTAGAAGTGGTTAGGCGTATGGTATAATTGTCACTCTTTTCCATGAAATCCATGTGACCATTTCCATCTGAAGTGAAAGACTTTCCTTTTTCACTTAGGATTCCACCGGGATCTGTATCGTTGGGTGGAGAATTTGAACCATTTCCTTTCATATGTGAGTCCATAGAGAGCGGTAAGAAACCATTATCATGGTGAGTCTGAGATTCCGAAGAAACAACGGTAATTGTTGCTTCGGTAATCACAGAGTTTTCCACAGTAGAAGGATCTTGTGAACCGTCGTCATTTTGTTCGTCCACAAACTTGTCCTGTGCTTGTCCCATGATGATTTCTTTATGCGCCCCTGATGAGGCGTCGATTGAAGACAATTTGGCGGTTTCAAAGAAAAATTTGATGGGAAAATGATGATTTGTACGAAAACACAAAGTCAGTCAATAAACGAACCGAGAATGTGTTCGAAATGGGTTGGGTTTTTGGCAAATTATCTTTAGTGCTCGTAATCGTTTATAAGAACTAGAGACCAACCTTATATTACAGGAGAATTTTAGATATGTATGTACGTATTTTCGACTATTAATTATTCCAGGTGTCACACAACTTTATACATAAACGTCATAAATTTTTAAAAGTGTTTTTTTGATATTTAAGATACGTATGAACGATGTGCATACGTATCATGAATCTGGCCCCTGTACCTTATAATATGTCACGTAAAGAGCTTAGATTAGAGACTACCAGTTAAAAGGTAACACGGGTGCATAGGAAAAAACCATTATATTAGCCATAATTCCGTCTATGATATTTCCAAATTTGTGAATTATAATTCCTGGCGAAAATAATAGCCGTTTTTTGTCACGTGAAAACGTGTGCTAAGTAAACAGTTTTGTTTTCTATAAATTTATATGTTTGTTCATTTTGTTTTCTTAAATTAGTTAACATTGAAAATTAAATAAAATAGATTACTAATTAATATCTTTTTTAAAATGTCAAGTAAATATTTACTTTATTAAAATTAATGAAAAATCATATGCTTTTATTCTTAGTATCCTTAATAATATAGTATATAATTTTTTTTTTAACTCATAATCATGGCATGTCTTTATTGAAATATTGAGAAATATCTAAATATTTATAACTTTTTACAAAGTGACTAACTCATCATTATATATTATTAGTTAAAAAATCACATTACTTAAAAAATATGAGAAGTCCATTAAATTAGTTTGGACTAAACAAAACTAAGTCTAAATTAGGTACTCTAAGTCAGATTTAAGAAACAATATTATGTTCTTCTAGTAGCTTGGTATAATGTCTTTAAATCAACTAGAGTTATTGCCAACAGTTTATTACTGTCAATTATCTCTAAAAATAATGAATTGCTAAAGTTGGCATTGAGAAAAAAGAAAAGAGGGAATACAATTCAAAACTTTTCAAAAGGTTCTTGCTTCATTTCACAGTTTTCTCTCGAAAGGGGTTTGCCTAATTGGAATGTTCTCTAAGCTTCATAATATTTGAGAAACTTAGTCATTCTGGAAAATGACTTCAAGAAGAATATTTGAGGAACTTATTCTTCTGTCGATATATGGATTCACTTATTGCTAGTAAAGCCAATGCCATATTACAAAAGAGTTTGCCTGACTGGAATAAAGAAATCTTTTCAAGAACTTTGCTGGACTGGAATAAAAGCTTGGAAACTTCTGTTTTTATCCAAGAAAACCTTTTTATCATCTGAGGAACTTAATGAGAGATGGAAGTTGGATTTTTTATCCTACTTGTCACTTGCCTTTTGATATCATAATTGTTTTATAGAGGTTGAACATATATGATTGAAGAAAACACTTTTTTTAGAACTTTTTTTTCTATATCACCAATAATATATCGAAACATGTGAGTATAACTAATAGGAACTTGTTTACATTTCAAAAACTAACATGTTTCATGTTAGCCAATCACCTTTGATAAGAATTTATGTTATCCAAAATTCAGGATTAAACTGAAATAAGCATAATTTTTCAGAAAACCGTAAACATAGAAGTTCTAGAAGGGCAAGATAGTCAAAAAAAGAGAAAATAAACCTTTTTACTGTAGAAAATCTCTATAAGCCTCTTGCTTCAAGAATTAAAAAGATCTTTAGGTACTTCACAGACAGTTCTTCTTTCTTTGAAAACTTTCTTGTCATTGATATCAAAGGTACTACTTGAATTTTCTTGATTACTGGAAGTCAAGTTTTTGAGAAAAAGATTTATAACAATAGAAGAAAAGTAAAAATGATTCTAGAAGTCATGCTTCAAGTTGTTTTAAGGAAAGTATTAAGACTTTATTAGTAAGAAAGTATAAAAACTTCTTGCAAATATCTTTTTTGTGTGTGATCAGAGGATCAGCAGAAAGAGTTTTTTAGATTTCATTAATTATTATTACTAAATAAATTATTATTATCAATTATTTTATTAAATTATTAAAATATTAAAAAATTATAAAAAGAGATAAGGTTAAAAAAATATATATTTGATATATTGCAAAAAAATAAAAATTTAAAAAATAAAATCTAATTTTTTTTAAACTACTAATCCAACTTTGCTTTATTTAAATTTAAGTAGAAATTGCATATATATAATATATTTAGTTACTTTTGTTTATTAGATAAAATTTAATAAGGAAATATCTATCTTATGGTTTACTGCTATTTTTTAAAAAGATCAATATATTAAGATTGAATTAGCATATATAAAATTTTGAATAAATAATAAGAGATTATAATTTCTTTAATATATTTGTAAATGTATTTATTAATAATATCAATATACTATTCTTTTATCTTTTCTTTTTTTTCTTTTCTTTGAACTAAAATATTTTTTATATTGTTATATTTTTAAAGTTTATGGATTTTTTTATTATATTATATTATTATTTCTATAATAAAAAATATTTATATTTATTATTTCATATCTTTTGAAAAAATTTATAATTCTTAAGTTTATTTTTATTATATATTTATTTTGAATACTCTTGTTTAAAATTAATTCTTTTATTTTATAAAAAATATTTTTTAGTATATCTTTTTTAATTATATATTTTAAAAATCCCATAAAATATGAGTTTCATATTGTTAATTAAAATTTTTTATTCTATTTACTATATTGAATTTTAAGTTATTCCTATAATTGTATATATAATCAATTTCTTTATTTTATATTTTTATATTTAACAAATGAAAAGAAGAATGTTTGTTTCTTCTTATTGTATTTAATATATTTATTATTAATATATGGATTGGATAATTTGTAATATAGTATCATTACAATATTTTTACTGATCTACATTTTTTCAAAAAAATTTTTTTTTGATAATTTTTTTAAAAAATTCAAAAAAACTCTTTTACACAAGAACAAGCCTTAAAGGATACAACTATTCACTTCTAGGCAGCAAAATCTACTTTATAACAATAAGAAAAGAGTTTTATTTACCTTGAAAGATAAATATTTCTAAATCATTTTTGCTTTTAGGAAGGAGAAAAAACAAAAACAAACTGATTCACAGTAGGCTTCTTGAAATCCAACCTCAATTCTACAAAGCTCTTAGTTAGGCCAATACAAATTAATATCTTTCTAGGTACTAAGAGAAGTCTCAGAAGCAATAGATTACACTGATAAATCAGCACAACCTCAAAACTAACTAAAACCCAGGAGGATATTCAAGTCTCTTTGGTCAAATGCTAAAAAATCACAACAACACAACAACCCTAGATCAACTAATTTATATCATGCAAACACGAACACGTTAACTTTCTATTTAGTTGACATGTATCAAAGCAAGCTGATCAATCTATAACAAAATAGTAGAATATGACAGATCAACAAATTAGAACATGTGTAATCAACTAGCATGTATTATCTAAAACAAAATCAATAGTTGATTACAGTCATTATATGTTAATAAACAAATACTGGACATGTAAACACATAGAAGTCATGTGTCATAGACTCCCTAATATCAATATAGTAACTTATTACTATATACATTAAATGAAAAAATAATATATAACAGTATTTATCTGATCACGTGGTTAAAAAACACTTATACAATAACAACACATATTAACAATAATCAGGATTTTGGAAAAAAAAAATGAGCTATTGAAAGTATTGGGAAAGATAACATCTCATCAAGATCTTCAGCAAGTACTCTGGGAAACAAGAATAATATAACATGAGTTGAGATTAACAATAACTAATCAACCTCATATCACTACTAAGTCAATACATGTTTCTTTAATATTAGATAATATTATTGTCAATCTATTGAGAATAGATCCATTGGTAATGATAAAAGAGTGTATACTGCAGCAATATATCCTTAATCTTTGGGAAAAGGTGCAAGGTAAAAAAGAAGATTTGGAAGTACCTAATACTAGAAAAAAAAGTGTATAATATGTTTACAAGCAAGTTAGTAATACCAGTATCAAGCTCTAATTAAATTGAAGTTCTAATGATAGAAAGTATCCAAATGAAAGTTCAACCAACTTTTACAGAACTTGAAGAAGCACACTCTATTAAAGAAGTCATAATGGAGGATAGAGAAGTGATAAAATAAATAGAAACAGAAGTGTTAAAAGAAACAATGCAGGGAAGCTGTATTACAGACAGTATATCTTATAATATAAGCAATAGGATTCAAAGGACAACAGCAAATCTATTCTTCATAAAAAAACAAGGATCAATCAAGGTGAAGGTACTTCAAGTCATGTTGCCAGAAAAAAATAAAAAAGAGTGAATTATATATTTCAAGGAGCTTTAAAAATACCTAAGTAAATAAATCCCTTCAAAACAGAATTTATTAATAGCAACCATTGAATCACATTTAGCTTTGATAAAGAAGAAGATGCAGCAAAATATCTAGAGACTGTTAACAAAAAAAAAGCTGAGAACTTTATATCTAGAAGAATGACAAAGATATGAGCACATGATTAGCCTTCCAAAAATATACACAGAACAAAAAGTTCTTCAAGTCAGAAAGCTTTCCATTAGCTAAAAATAGATCAAAATATATCACATTAATAGATACAGATCACAAGCTTGGCAAACGTGTAATTAAACAAACAATGGAAGAATTTGGAGAAATTATTAATATCCATGAATATAGAATATCTTTTTCATCAAAAATAGTTCAAAGTTCACCTTTATGCTTACTGAGAATATATTAACTTGGACAAAGAATGGGTGATCAAGATAAAATCCACTCAAGTATGGTCTGTGATAGCCCACAAGGAATAAGATGATCAAGAAATTACTCAGATTTTAAAAGAAAGAAAGAGATACTTTTTAAG